ATTTTTTACATTTTTGGTTCGTCCCATTAAAAAATATATACTAATACCAAAAAAATATTCTTAACTTTGATTTAAATTTCAAATATACGATTACACGTACAATTATCTTTTATATAAAGTGAAAGGACAAAAATATCAAAATCTCTTACACTTCCATTAATCAATAAAATAATAGAGATAGTATATTAATATGATTATCACTATCAAAATTTTTATATAATATACTCATTCCGTCTTGCTTCGTCATGCCATTTTTTTTTCATGGTAATTAAAAAAAGTGTATTAAAATGTTAATTATTTTGAATTTTGTTGATACGATAATTATAATGTGGTAATATATTTTTATTATATTTAATATTTTATTACTAAAATATATATACATTAATTTTAACACAAATAATTTTTGTATTTAGACAAATTATTGGTATAAGTATTTGTAATAATACTAAAAATTAAATAATATATATTTAAATTTAAATTATTTGTAATAAATTATTATTATAATTATTTAAAATATAAATTAAAATTTTTTATATTTAATTAGATTTTTTACAAAATTTTCACTATTTATACAATTTTCCTTTTCACAATATTGGTCAAATTTCTATTTTTTATTTTTATATTATAAAATTAATTAATGATTTTATAAAACATCAATATCTATTTATATTATATCAAATTATTATTTAAATTTAAAAAAAATTTACTATTTAAATTTTGAATCTAAAATCCAAATTTTCAACGTAACACTGTTACTATTTATTAATTATGAAATATATTATTTAAAATATTAAATTATTTTTATTTTTACTTTTTGTTTTTTTAAAAAATTTAATTTAATACGGTCCGCTTGACTATGATTTTTTTTTACGATGCTTGAGTCATATTTTGGGATCATACATACTTTTGTTTATTCTAATTAAACATAGGTAAAATATGGATGATTCGATATGACATACCAAAATGCCGAGTCATCTTATATTGTTATGAAACTTTTTTTATGTTATAAAATATATCGATATCATATAGAAAAATCAGCATATTAAAAATTTGATAACACATATGTACATACTGTATCGTACTAATAATTCGGTAAACCAAAAGCATTTGTATATTTTGTTTCATAATGAAATATTAAATTAAAAATAATTTTATAATTTACGAAAAAAATTTCAAAAATAATTTTGTATCAATATATTGAATTATTGATATATACCGATATGTCGAATATTAAAATATCAACACAATATATGTTATTTTCGTCGTATGCTGAAATAATTTCAATATTTTGATATTTATCAATAATATCAAACTATATAATGATATCTTATCAAAAAAGTTCAATACAATATTATACATGACCGAACTTTTTAGTATACCAAAATTTTAAGATTTTTGGATTTTTTCAGTATGATATGCGCAATATTTCGGCAATTCTATTTTTTTTTTTATCTCTAATTAAAAATAAATTATTGAAATAATTTTGTGTAAAAAATTGAATATTTTTCACCCAACGAAAACTTGAATATTTTCACCCCAACAAAATTTTTTCAATAAGTTTCACAATTAATATTATAAAAAATGCAATATAACACACTTTCACCTAATATATAATATTTTTTTCCATACTCATAAAAAATCAACAATTAATACAAAATATTATTATTTATTTTACCAACACATCTTCACATACCTAACATAAAAATATTTCAAACTAAAAAAAATCAATTACAGACTACATATATTAATTTTAATTATTTAAGATTTAATTGTTATTATATATATATATATATTTTTTATATAGAAAGTGATATAATTGAATAAGACAAAAAAAAAATTGACATAATTTTATAGGACAAGGGAAGTATATATTATATTATTAGTATATATTATAAATTCATATATTTATCTAAATTAATATTTACGCTTATCTTATTTAAAATCTCTCTAATTATAATCTATATAAAAAAAAATACATATATAATTTATTTTATAATTACAATTTATTGTTCTCATTAAAATTATCAAAATATTTTTCTTTAAATGTTTCAAAATGGAAGCATTAGAAATGTTTTTTTTTTTCAATCAAGGAGTCTGGTATATCCATGTTGAAACACAAGAAGCAGCCAAAATAAAAGAAAACAAGCATAGATGAGGAGATGGAGAACTGAGGAAGCTGGTTCAAGACAAGAGGTGGACAGAGATGGATAAGAAATAAAATATATATTTTTAGTATTCTATCTCAATAAAATATATATTATTTTGTAGTTAATTTTTTTTATATAATGCAAATATAAAAAATATATTTATTTATTTATATTTAACTTAAACTAATTTTATAGAAAATGAATAATTTTAAATTTAGATAAAAATATTTATTTATTAAAGAAAAATAAAAATAAATGGGGGTTTGACTAAGTCTAGAGGTTAGAGATTTAATTATATTAATTTATATTTGTTAAGTATATTTAAAATGAATAAATTTTATTAAGAATAAAAAGAAATCATTTATTATATGACAGACAGAAAAGAGAAAGAAAAGTTATTTGTGACAAGACGGGAAGATATTTTGGATATTTAAAATTAGATTCTTTGTAGAAAATAATAGGCTTAGTAAAAAGTGATGAAATAAAATAGTAGCAATTGCCACAATATGGGGTTTGGATTTTAAATTAGAATTTTAATAGTAAAAAGATTAAATTGAAATAGTTGTATACTATGATATAAATATGTATTGATATAATGTTTTAAATGTAAAATTATTTTTTTAGTATAATATAAAAATTTAAAAATAGAAGATATTTGATTTGATGTTTTTAAAAAACAAATTTTGATAAATAATACTCCCTCAGTCCCACTTCTCATATCACATTTTTATTTCCGTCCGTTCCACTTATTTTGTCACTTTCTGAAAAAAAAAATTATACATTTTATCTTATTTTAAAAAAATTTAATTTATAATTTTTTTAAAATTTTAATTATAGTAATGAGTTATGTTAATCTTAATCTGTAATTATTTTTATCATACGATAATTATTTTCACTAATATATTTTTAATTATTTACTAATTATATTCCTCCTAAATTCCCGTATCTACGATAAAACGGACAAAATATCCAGGACGGAGGGAGTAGAAATTTTGGGAAAGAAGAAAGTATGTTTGTAATTTTTTATTTTATTTTTTTATTATGTTCATAAGTCCCACAAGCCTTTCTCTTAATTTCTTACAAACTTAAACAATTGAACAAAAATAGGAAAGTCTTGTCCGATTCTGTACATATGAACAGAGCCATATCATATCTCATCACCTTTAATATTGGCATTTTGCAAGGAAGCCAAATCGGCAAAGTTCAACAAGATTTTTGATTCTGAATATCTTATCTTTATATAATCGTTTTCTAAATTTAGTGATTTTTAAAATAAGTAATTTATGAATATATACATAATGTCTGTTTATGTGTATTTCTAAAGCATAAATAAATAAACTAAAACATTTCAATAAAAAAATTATTATGGAGTTGATTTTACAATTTTTATTACCTAAAATAATAAATTAAATTTTCGGCACAATAGGAGTAATCTATACTTAATAATTTTCTAAATAAAATATTCTACATTCCTTTCATTATTGCAATGGTTAGTTTCCATAAAGACATTCAGATCCTCCTGCAAATAATTCATCTTCTAAATGGTTTCTTTGGATTGTGTTTAAGTTTTTATTTTAATTTTTTTTAAATAATATTTTAATATTTTTTCACATAAAATACTTTTTTTTTTTTCTAAAAATTGTAAAATAATACTCCCTCCAATACAATACGTGTCATCTCACCGCTTGATCTACAAGGGTTTGACTCACATATATTGTAGTTTCAAATGCAACAATATGCCGTAAATTTGCACTTTATGGGAGTGCTGTTTTTATGTGTTTATGTATTGAGTTAATAATATGTGTTTTATAAACAGGTGTCATGTACTACGAATGTATTCTACTACAACATTCGTCTTAACTAGTTACATTTCTCATTATTTGTTAGAAGAGATACAGTTATTCACTGTTTATTACATTTTTTAAAAAAACGGATTACCTTCAACAAAAATTTTTAAAAAAATAAAAAAATATTATTCAAAAAATTTTAAAATTTTGAAAATTTAACAAAAATTATCTAATATATATATGTTGATTTATTTAAATAATTTCAAATTTTTAAATAGTAAATTATATGTTTCAATATATTAAAATTTCTATAGATTAAAATTTAAAAATTTAATATAATATTATATAAAAATATTATTACACAATAGAAATATATAGAAATATGTATAAATAAATAATTTATATATACTATGTAATAAAATTATATAGAAATAAATAAATTAGTATGGATCCTATAAAAATAGTAAAGGTAATGTATTGAAGGTGATTACTATAACGAGTGATAAATAAAGTAATTTAAATATTGAATTAAATATGATCTGTATGACAAAAATAAAAGAGATAACGAAGTAGAGGTAATGTCTGTGACATTACTCTTATATGAACATAAACCTTATATTGTATGTTTAAGCTTCATATTTGTTGCTAGATTATAATTCATATCCTGTGATTACCTACTGATTAAATTTGTATCAGCTCAAGAACCTCTCTAAAATAATTTAACTCAGACATTACAAAAAAAATAATATCTTTGTAATGAAATTCAGTACCTAAAGTTCATGTTAATGTAATTTTATTCTTAATTCTGTCTCTAATGTCATTAATAAAGAAAAAAGTAAATTTAGAAACAAAAATATTACGTTACAAAAATAATTTTTTCTTGTAACGAGAGTTGCTGGAAGAAAAAACATTTTTTCTTTTTTCCTTTTGTATGTGTGTTTAGTATCACCTAGGCCATCGTATGCTGCATATACAAACAATACAACATCTAAAAATTACTCTAGAACAGCCAAGCAAAAGTCGACAGCCGATTTTATTCCACAACGAGTACATATACAGGCAACCATATATATATATATAAGCATGCAGTGCAGAAGGAGATGAACAAAATTAAAATTAAAGCGTTATTTGGCGAGACTTAGCCGCAGAGACAAGAGTGAGAACAAAGTATATAACCATTCCGACATAGGCAAGCAACGACGCCGCGGTGGCACGTGCGCAGTACTTGACGAAATAAGGACATATCGGCATCCATCCCGCATGGCTGTTGCCGTATTTCCCGATTTGCCCCACGGCAGTTGCCGCCGCACACCCCGACATTAGCAACAGGCTCATCGTCTGCACCTCCATCAACCAATATCGAATATTAACTTCAATTTTGATTAATCGATTTTTGTGGAGAGATAATAAACATATATAACAAAATAGATACACGTACGAAATCGTGGACGAACAAGCCAAAATATTTGGTAGGGTGCGGCGTCTTGCGCCGGAGCAGCATAAAGGCAGCCATTAGGGAGACCAGTGTGGAAAAACACACTCCCAGATTTACATAGGCGAAGAATCTGCAGTGATAATTTTAAAGTTCATTAACTAATTAATTATATTACTCTAGGATAAATTATACTCTCTCCATTGTTCAAATTTATTTATTTTTTTCATAAACAAATATTTAAAAAATCATTATACTTTTGTAATTTTTTTACTATAAAAAAAAAGTAGAATTATTAATCATTGTTATTAAAATTCGTGTCCGCTCAAATTAGAACATATTTGAGCGACGGAAGGAATATTAGATTAGGTTTATCATTCAATCCACAAACAGCTAAAAACTATGAGGCTAATTGCCAAACAAACCTTAAATTAGAGATGCCGAGTGTACGGATTGAGATAATGCAATAAGAAGATCGAAGATCGAGGGTAGTTTTATTTATAAAAACAAAAGTTGAAATCGAAATGAATGAAGTAAATATTTACAGATTCCGACATGCTACAGTTCAAAAGAAAAGAACCTTTGTTAGTGTAGAAAAATCTCATTTTAAAACCCTAAACGACTTCAATCTAAGAATTCAGACTGCATAAAAAGTTTTACTTGAAAGCTGGAGAATAGGTGTAGTTGGCTTGGGTGATGATGCCGAAAACCATGATGGTTTCCTTGTTGGTGAGGGTAATGGAAGCAGCAGCAACACTTGCAGCACTCGCCAAAACCCTAAGTGACATTTGTGCTGTCAACAACACTTTCTGAGACTTTGAAAACGCCACCAGAGGGAGTTTCTCTGCCATTGATCGATCCATACCCCTCTCTCTCTCTCTCTCTCTCTCTCTCTCTCTCTCTATCAGAATTCCCACAATTAATTAATTACAGTGATAATGGTGGTGATGATGGGGAAGACGAAGGTGAAGAATATATATATATATATATATATATAAAGAGGGTATGAGTGTTAATATATAGAGAGGTGCGTGCATTTGCAATAAGAATTTTCTTATGTTTGATATTATATATATATATATATAGCAGCTATTTATCTTTATTTGGTATGTCCACCAATTATGCCATGCCAAATTAATATATACGTATATGTAGTTATTGTTCCAAGATTTTATTTTTGTTGTCTTTACCATTAAATTTGCTCCAAGATATCATTTTTATACAGTTTATAAAGACAATTTTCAAATAAGTTAAATGTTAATACAGTATTATTTTTGTGGTATGGAATAAGTGCGGGAGGATATTTCAGCAATGTTGAAGCTATCTATTAAATGGAGAACCTAAATTCAATGGGGATTTAAAATTTAAAAATACATATATTTAAATATAGACTTTAATACTAAGTTTGTATAAATGCCTTAATTTTAGTGAAATAAAATCGTGTTGAATCAACTAAGAATGGAAAAAATAAAATAAAATAAAATCCAGCCAACGCCCTCGAACCAGCAATATGGGCTAAGCACTTAATATATTTTGACTGTTAGACCTATTTTTTAGATCCAATTTTCTAGGATTTGGCCTACGTATTTAGTTATTAACACTATGAAATCACTAAGTTCAAATATTTGGCTTAGCCACCTCGGACGTATATCATTATGATCGAACATCAAATTCTTGGTGTTCTTGTGTGTTTTTCTAAATTTTCATTTATTTCCCAAATAATTGGTATTAGAGTTCTAAATTACGTTCGAGTGAGAGTCATGATGAGCTATCGTCTTATTGTTAAAGTATTTAATGGGATCAATTTCGGGTTTTGGAAGGTGCATATGGAAAATAAGGTAAGGATTTGGAGGCTGAAGGAGAAACTAAAGACATTTTAGATTTTAATTTTTCACGGCTAATATCTATTAGTTTCAAAATTTATTACAAACTTACATTTGATTAAAATGTAACAATGAATGTTATTTAGACTAATGTACTCTTACACCTGTTCGAAAGGAAATTCAAAAACCTTAACATAATTATATTTGAAGTCACCATAACTAGTTCATTCCAAACCATTGTGGCATAGGTTTAGGTTGATTTCTAAATTATAGAAAATAACAGCCGTGTCTAATTCGCAGCACATTATGTGCTATCAAACATCATACAATGTTACTATATGCAACACACCGTATGTATTAATATAATACAAATACATCATATGCTATAGTCTTATACAACAAAAACAATAGTTGATTTCAGCACACCACATACTGTCATACAACACACTTGTAATTATGAACCAACAACACAAACATAATATATGAACTAACAGCAGATGCTATAATCTTATACAACACAAATAATAGTTGAGTTTAGCACACCACATACTTTTATACAACACACTTCCAAATCAACACCCTAACTGTTCCCATATATCTAATAAACCTGCAAGGAATTTCCATTTTTTCTTCATCATTATTGTTGAAAAATACAATGTGCAACACCTCAAACCAAAACATCACATTGCCCTCGTATTCTTCTCCAAATTACAGAATTTGATACAAGTCTGATAAGATCAAACCTTAGATATTTATATATTGTATATTTTCCTTATGTTGTATTATTTTATTTCCTTTTATAGCGGACATATTTTTGTAATTCCTTTATATATATCAATTCACACTGATCACAAGATCATCGGTGATTACTCAAATCACACTTTCATGGTATCAGAGTGGGTACTATGGAAACCCTAGTTGTTATTCTTCTTCTCTTTCTCACTGCATATTTTTCTTCTTGTTCTCACTACATTCATGGCGACCACAAATGCTTCAGATGCAGTCCCGATTCCCACAATGATCCATATGGTGACAATCAAGTTATCCTCCTCCAACTTTCTCGTATGGAAGCGACAAATTTCACCCATGCTCACATGATTTGGCCTGCTCAATCATGTGGATGGATCATCTTCCCCACCCGCTGAAAAGATAACTAACTGTGATGGATCTGAATCTCCGAACCCAGAGTATAATACTTGGCACACCACAAATCAAAATATTCTTGGCGTTTTTTTCTCTACTCTCACAGAAGAAGCTATGACAGAAGTCGTGGACTGCACCACGTTGACGGCGGCATGGATTGCCTTAGAGGCTGCCTTCTCCTATTCTTATACCTCTAGGGCAAATCAATTACATGAGGAGTTATTGTCTATGCGTCGCGGTTCCATTTCCGTCCAAGACTACGGAAAATGATTCAAAAATATTTGTGATCAATTGTCGGCCATTGGATGTGCTGTCGATGAGTCTGACAAATCGCACTGGTTTCTTCATGGTTTGGGAATCCAATTTGCTAGTTTTGCCGATACACGAATGGCGATGTCTCTAGTTCCTTCATTTTCAGATTTTCTTCATCAAGTTGTCCAATTTGAACTATTGCATAGGTCAATGTACAATGCTTCCTCTCAGCCAGTAGCTTTTACTATTTCCGCACGCCGCTCTTCCTCTAGTTCCGGTAGATTTTCTCATTCTCTAGGCTCACATCAAGGATATTCCCGAATAGGCCAATCTGGTCAGGGTCGTTCGGGTGGTTTTTCCTCTACTGGGCGAGGTAATTTTTCTACTCTACGCAAACCGAGGTATCAAATATGCAAGGGAGAACATTATGCAGATGAGTGTCCCCTTTATCTCAACAAAGGGGGTAATTCTGTTGATCTTGCCCAAGCTTTTCATGCCTCCTGTGCAATTGAGCCCAACCAGCGTGGCTCTGCATCCGACTGGTATATCGATTTGAGTGCCTCCGCTCACATTGCTGCCCAACAAGCCTCTCTAGATTTGGCCGTCTCTAATACTGGTAATCATTTTGTTATTGTTGAGAATGGTACACCTTTATCTATCTCGCATATTGGTACACACTGCATATCTCCAAAAATGAAACTCACTAATGTTCTTGTTGTGCCTAAAATAACAAGAAATATTTTATCTATATGGAAATTGATAGCTGATTGTCCGATTGAGGTTGTTTTTACTAATGATTCTTTTGCTATTCAGCACCGCCTCACAAAGGCAACTCTAGCTCAGGACAGTTATGAAAATAGGCTTTATGTATTGAAGATAGGTTCTACAGCATTTCTTACTTCTGTTAAAAATTCTAAAATAAGAGCAAGTTATGATTTATGGCATTTACGTCTGGGGCATGTCCCATCTTCTACTATTACATTGTTGAATAAAATTGGGCACTTATATGTTACTTCAATATTTCCGAGCCTAGAACTTTGCTCCTCCTGCCAATAGCCAAGAGCAAGAGACTTTCTTTCCAATTAAATGAGAAACTGGCTTCTTCTGTATTGGATCTTATTCATTGTGATTTATGGGGTCCCGCACCTGTTATATCTCGTGATGGTTTTCATTATTATGTGGCATTTATAGACGATTTGTTCATGTTTCACTTGGCTATATCCATTGAATGCTAAATCTGATTTTTATGATGTGCTCGTGAGATTTAATAACTATATGTGCAATCAGTTCTTCACCACCATCAAAGTGTTTCAAAGTGATGGTGGCACTGAATTTGTTAACAGCCGTGTTCGAAAGTTCATGCAAACAAATGGGATACGTCATCGTTTATCTTGTCCGCACACTCTACAACAAAATTGCCGAGCTGAGAGAAAGCATAACCATATCACCGAGACAGGTTTATCAATGATGTTTCATGCTAATATGCCTGTCAGTTTTTGGTTCGATGCCTTCGCCACTGCTGCATTTATCGTCAACCGTATTCCCTCAACTGTATTGGCTCAAAAGTCTCATTTTGAGGTTCTTTTTACAGTTCCTCCAAACTATGCAAACTTCAAACCTTTCGGTTGTAGAGTATATCCTTATCTCAGAGATTATTTTCTACACAAATTGCCCCCCTGCAGTCGACCATGCATATTTTTGGGCTACACCTCTGTATATAAGGGTTTCCGGTGTTATGATCCTGATTCTGGAAAAATATTTCACACTCGACATGCACAATTTGATGAAACACTTTTCCCATTTGCAGAAAAGTCTACCTCTATAGCACAAAAATTCCTGGATATTGCCACTTTCATGGACGTTAATTTCGTCAATTCCTCTTCCATTCCTAAATTACCGATCTCTCGTCCATCTATAACTCCGCCATCCACTACTTGCCGGCCTTGTTTGCTCGAGACTCCCACTACCAAGTTCCCACCATCAGCTCCACCTATTCATGACTTGCCATATATTGACGATACTCTTGTAGCATCTCCCCCTGCCCCACCAATTGCTTCGCAGCAAGAACATCATATGGTCACACGATCTAAAGCTGGTATCTTCAAACCATGATACCCAGTGGATTATGCCTTTACAGCTTTGCTATCTACTCTGGCTACAATTCAGAACCTCACAGTTTCAAATCTGCATAGAAATCACCACATTGGTTAGCCGTTCTGCAGGAAGAAATGGATGCATTGCACTCTAATTGCACATGGGACTTGGTACCTCCACCCGAAGATGTTAATATTGTTGGGTCGAAATGGGTTTATCGCAAAAAATACCGCTCCGATGGCTCTACTGAGCAACATAAGGCTAGACTTGTTGCTCAAGGCTTTAGACAAATTTCTGGTGCTGATTTCCATCATACCTTTAGCGCTGTTGTCAAGGCTTCTACACTCAGCATAATTCTCGCCTTATCAGTTCATTACAACTGGCCTTTGCATCAACTTGATGTTAAAAATACATTTCTCAATGGTGTGCTTAGTAAACCTGTCTACATGGCTTAACCACCTGGTTTTGTTGATCCACGATTCCCGATTCATGTATGCCGGTTAAAAAGGGCTCTATATCGTTTACGCCAAGCTCCACTGGCTTGGTTTCAGCGATTTAGCTCTTTTCTCCTCTCTCTCAGCTTTGCTCAG